AGCCACTTGGTATATGTGATTTATGTGACTCTCTTGTTCTTCTTGCTCCTCTGGTCACCTGGTGCTTTGTCTATTCCCTTGGGCTGCTGCCTGTTGTATGAACATAAGCCAGACCTTTGTCAGCTCACTTTCTGGTTTCTGGTAAACAAGGATCTCCAGAACTGGTTTCCTGCTGGCACACAAAAGACTCTTCTATTCCTCCCCTAAATGACTTCTCAATTCTTTACCACCTCCACCCTCACCTCCAAAACCCTATTAACTGTCAGGCAGGTGGTTGAGGTGACCAGTTAAAACTGTCCTTATGCAAGGGTATGAGGTATGATGGTGTCCTTGCCAAGTCCCGGGCTTTCTCACATGCAACCAGTGAATGCATACAAAATCTAGGTACCTTTATTTGCCTTCCTCATCCTGAACATGATTAAGTGCCATAAGTGCCAGGGTGGGTGTACACTTTCTGTTCTATTTCACATCTCTCATGTCTCTCTTTTTAAAAAAATAGTAGCTCAGAAACAACTGCAAAAATAGGCTTTTTAGTTTACTTGGCTCTATATCAGAGGCAGAGAGGTTGTCCTGTAAAATAGATTGCTGCTAGAGCTCTTATTGCCCACTCTGCTCTCCTCCCAGTTTCTCACCCTCCTTTACAATGCCTAGCGGGTATAAAGGGATACATATCTAGATGGAATGAAAAGTAATTTCTATTTCAGAGTGGATGGAAGAACTAAAGAGATTGTGGTGGATGCCCTAAGCAGGGAAAATAGTACAAAAGGCCATAACAAGGCAAAAATAAGCTACGGGGAAATTAAGCCTAAAATTAAAACTAGGTTAACTGAGAACTTGAAGGAAGGAGTACCTACTCTTAGTGGTGATGGGAGAAGAAATACTTTTCTCAGGATTGGGATAGGAGGATTGAAGGTGGTTGGAGTGTTAAGTACTTGTGTGTTTCCTAGACAAGGGTTCTTTGAAGAACACAAACAGTACAACTTTGGGTGTTTTCTCTTATTTTCATGTGGTCTTATTTATGTGGAAGATTACTATTGTGCCTTTAATTTCACTAGTATTTAGTAAAATCCTTTTACTTTGTTTTCATTTATTGAGAAGATTGAGCTGTACTAGTTTTGTTTCAATTGGGAACTTTTGGAAGAATATCAGTCTTCCTTTTTTGTACATGATAGAGACTTATTTGAATGTTCATAACAGTTTTCAGCCTGTTCTTGTTTCTGTTAAAACTTTATCCTTAAATTTTAATTTGAATAACTCGGTTTTGTCAGACTCTGAAGATTTTGGAAATTGTTGTCTTCATGGAAAAATGACTTTGTGGCTCTGGTTGATTTTCTTCCTTGCCCTAGTAACAACTTAGTAATTGATGTGTCTGTTTTCTAGACAGTATAAATACCTGTGAGATTGCTCTGTAAAACTGGAAGTGCACCATTGGCATATTTCTCTTTCCTTACATGCATGATGGTAAAATAAAAGCATGTCACTCTGAAAAAACAAAACAACAACAACAAAAAACGCCTTAATTGATTTGCTCCTTAATTTTGAAATCAGAACTTAAAGAGTGATTGGTCGTGGGCAATGTTACCTCTGATATAAACATAAATGTTGGGGGTGACAAAATGTTTCTACTTCCTTGTCTGAATGAATATAACAACTGTGACATTTGGCCTCATGGAATTATCACAGAAAAAATGATGATGTTGACTTATTGTAACAAGAGGCTGTTAGATTTCCACTTAGAACTTGGAGAACCTACTTCCAGTAATGTTTTATTGGAAAGTAATTGCATTTCTTAATGGCTTAATAAATAAACACAAACCTTTTTAGTAATTGCAGCCTAGTGGATTTGTGACACAAGCCAAAACTTATCACACATTGTTGGGTGTGTTCCTTCAACTGTTAGTGACAAAGTTCCCCTGTTCAGTTTAAGGCAGAGGGTTATAGTTTAACAAGTCTCTTTGGTTTTTTTTTTTTTTTTTAATTTTTATTTTGTCAATATACAATGTAGTTGATTATTATGTCCNATTAAGTGCCATAAGTGCCAGGGTGGGTGTACACTTTCTGTTCTATTTCACATCTCTCATGCCTCTTTCTCTTTTTAAAAAAATAGTAGCTCAGAAACAACTGCAAAAATAGGCTTTTTAGTTTACTTGGCTCTATATCAGAGGCAGAGAGGTTGTCCTGTAAAATAGATTGTCCTGTAAAATAGATTGCTGCTAGAGCTCTTATTGCCCACTCTGCTCTCCTCCCAGTTTCTCACCCTCCTTTAGCAATGCCTAGCGGGTATAAAGGGATACATATCTAGATGGAATGAAAGTAATTTCTATTTCAGAGTGGATGGAAGAACTAAAGAGATTGTGGTGGATGCCCTAAGCAGGGAAAATAGTACAAAAGGCCATAACAAGGCAAAAATTAAGCCTAGAATTAAAACTAGGTCAACTGAGAACTTGAAGGAAGGGGTACCTACTCTTAGTGGTGATGGGAGAAGAAATACTTTTCTCAGGATTGGGATGGGAGGATTGAAGGTGGTTGGAGTGTTAAGTACTTGTGTGTTTACTAGATAAGGGTTCTTTGAAGAACACAAACAGTGCAACTTTGGGTGTTTTCTCTTATTTTCATGTGGTCTTATTTATGTGGAAGATTACTATTGTGCCTTTAATTTCACTAGTATTTAGTAAAATCCTTTTACTTTGTTTTCATTTATTGAGAAGATTGAGCTGTACTAGTTTTGTTTCAATTGGGAACTTTTGGAAAAATATCAGTCTTCCTTTTTTGTACATGATAGAGACTTATTTGAATATTCATAACAGTTTTCAGCCTGTTCTTGTTTCTGTTAAAACTTTATCCTTAAATTTTTAATTTGAATAACTCAGTTTTGTCAGACTCTGAAGATTTTGGAAATTGTTGTCTTCATGGAAAAATGACTTTGTGGCTCTGGTTGATTTTCTTCCTTGCCCTAGTAACAACTTAGTAATTGATGTGTCTGTTTTCTAGACAGTATAAATACCTGTGAGATTGCTCTGTAAAACTGGAAGTGCACCATTGGCATATTTCTCTTTCCTTACATGCATGATGGTAAAATAAAAGCATGTCACTCTGAAAAAACAAACAAACAAAAGATGGAAAACAAGGGTTGAAACGTGGGAGAAATAGCTTGGTACAAATACTTCAGTAAATCGTTGGGCAGTATCTGTGCACACTCTCTGAGCCAGCTCTAGAAATACCCAACAGGAATGCATACATATATTCACCCAAAGACATGCACGGAAGTGTTTATAACAGCACAATTTTAATAGCTGACACTGGGAGCTGACCCAATGTACATCAATAGGAAAAAAATAAAGTTTTTAAATATTCACACAATGGAATACTATAAGAACTATGCCTACATGCAATAATATGAATGAATCTCACAAATATGCTGGATATAAGAAGCTCGACACAGAAGAGTAGATGGCATATAATTCCAATTATATATGAAGTTTAAGAAAAGGTAAAACTAATCTATGATGGCAGAAGTCAGAATAGTGATTACTGCCAAGAAGAGTGAAGGGTCTGTGATTTACCCTACTTGCAAGCTGACAAGTTAGCCTTCTTAGTTAATGGATCCTGGGTCAGAGACAAAGGGCCTTACAATTTAATATCAGTGTCAGTATTTGCACCAGTTCCCTGAGCTCTAACTCCCAGGAGGCAATATGGTAGCCATGTGACATGTGCACACACAGTGGATTGTATTACAGGAGAGAAATCCTGAGCTTAGGGAACCTGACTCTTTTATAATGGGCAGTAAACATACCTGTCCTTTGCTTTGAAGGGAGACATTATTATACTGAACAATAAAGTAAACCTATTCGCCTATTCTTTGCTTCATAAGAGACATAATGTCTGTTTTTCAAGGCTGTAAGCAAATCTGCCCTTTGCTCTGCAGGGAGACACTTATAGGTTCCAAGGCTGTTTGCTACACAAACATCCTTGTTTGTTCAGATACTCTGAACACTGGCAGTCAGTGCCTCTGCTCACAAGATGTGCAGAAACATGAGAGGTACATGAAGAATTCTTTCCCAGCATTTTATTTTGGGGTGGCAGGTACCTGTTGATTGGGAGTGTGCAGGTGATGGATTATGAAGGAGTGACGGATTATGAAGGGATGGTTGATGTTTTGTGTCTTGATCTGGGTGTTGGATACATGAGTGTATTCGATTTGTGAAACTTCACCAAGCTGTACACTTGCGAAATACTTTTGTATGTATATTATACTTTAATAAAATATGTTTCCTTAAAAAAAAAACAAAAGTGACACAAAAGTAAGCAAAGAAAAGTAAAAACATCAAAAAACCCCCATCATTTTTCTGGAAACTTTATACTATAAAATGGTCAATTAAAATGTATGTTTTTGATCTTTTTGGGTAGGCCACAAATCTATATTTGAGAATTCTGATGCAATCATTTACTGTGCCACATTCAAATGGTTAAA